AGCTGTCTTCCCTCTAAACTTACACTGCTAAATTAGGGACGGCTAGCGCAGATAGCCCTCGGGTAGCTTTGCGCAAAATTCAAAAACAAACAAACAAATTCTCTAATCTTATAAAACATAATGTTTGGAGTTTAGCTTTCAAACACTAACACTGGTAACAAATTAAGAATATTATCAAACTATTGGTGATATGCTTTTTTTTATATCAACATTGCTTACTGGCATATTACTGAAATTACTTTTTCTTATATCCCGTCACTCTGGCATTTTACTGACTTTACAACTCGTCCAGCTTGTGCTCAAATTCAGCCACGTGGAGCTAAATTCCTCCGCCTTGATGGATAAGGTCAGATTATAATGGTATACAAAAAAAGTATTTTTTTCAGTGTTATAAAAAAACACTAATAACAGAGTTTCAGCTCTGATAACCTTGATTTTTTTTGTCGGCAATGCTCTGTATCCTGCAGTATTTTATGATGTGTATTTGTGAATTTTTTCTCTCTTTTGTGTGTGTGTGTGTGTGTGTGTGTGGCGCTGCGTTTTATTAGCAGAATGCTTATTTTAAAAAAAAAAAGACTTCAAGACGAGATTCTAGATACAACTTTGGGATGATGACTACATTCTGGAAAAATTCTACTGGTTCTTTCGGTGATACTTTTCTTTTGTGTGAGTGTGACTTTATACATCTAGGGCTTATGTGTATTTTGTTGTTTATGTTTATGTTTTTGAAAAGTTTATTAGAGTTTTATTGTGATTTGTACAATATGAAATTTGATAGCGAACGCTGTTCTAAGTATAACTGTTATGTAATTTAATATTTATAAGGTATTTATATGTTAACAGAGAAAAAAAACACCTTCTGAATGGCAAAATTAATCGGGCACGGCCTAGTGGTCAATATACCCGAACTGTAAATCGAAGGTTCATGGTTCGCATCCCTTTGCCGCAAAATCACGCTCCGCACTTTAAGATCGTGGGTACAATACAGGAGTGACGGCCAAATCCTACCATTCGATAAAGTAGCTCAAGAGTTGGCGGTGGATGCTGTTGATTAACTGCTTTTTCTCTTGTCTGTAGTTCCGAATTAGGAACGGTTAGTGTAACTTTGTGGGAATATCCGCAACAAAAAGTTATTTTATTTCGTATGTTAACAATATTCTAGCTGTTATAAACCTTATTGAGCTTGTACTTCTATATTGTAAGGATATCTTTTCTGAGGCAATTTTTACAGACTCGGTAATTTAGTTAACAATTATGGTCTGTTTTCGTTGTATTTACTAATGTTTTCCTTATCTACTTCCTACTGTCTGAGAGTTCTTGAAAAGAATAATACATTTCACATTATCTGCTTTCTCTAGCCTACGATAACAGTGCTTTTAAAGTAACATAAACTTTTATTTTCATTTGTTTGATCAGACATTTTTATGTTAACTTTTCATAATTGGTTTTTTCTTTCTGAAGGTGTAACAGCCTATTCCCTTCATCCGGGTCTTGTGTGCACAAACATATTTCGCCACTATCATGGAGTGAGAAAATTTCTTGTTGATTTAATTGTAACCATGTATGGAAAGGTAAGTAAACAGCTCGTACGTGGAATAATTAATGTAATATGTTTAGGTAACATGAAGGTATTCAATAAGTTACTACTGTCGAGTACCAATCAGAATTCGAGTTATCTCTTTGTGTGCTTGATGAAAATCATTATTGTGTACAATATCATAATTTCTCTTTACGTGTACATAAAATAGGTCTAAATAAAGGGTTTGTTTGAAGTTAAGCACAAAGCTACACAATGGGCTATGCTCTGTCCACCACGGACATCGAAACCCGGTTTCTAGCGTTGTAAGTCTGCAAACATGGGGGGGGGGGATTATACCCAGGCATATTATGTGTCCCCCAATGGCCCAGCGGTATGTCTGCGGACTTACAACGCTAGAAACCACGTTTCGGTACCCGTTATGGCACAGCGCAGATAGTCTTTGAGCTTAACTTCAAGCAAACAAAGAAGCATATTGTAAAATCATTTATTTTCACTGAAATATGTACATTTATAAAAGTGTAGATAAACTGAGGCAGAGCATAAGTGAGTAATATAATCCTATTATATAAGTTGTTTATTGTTATTATCTGAAAATGCTTATTTTTTATACAATAATTTAATTGTTCCTTACAATACTTCATAAGCATAAATTACTTTCTAGGGTTAAGTACTTGCTCTCAGACTTTAAAACGGAAAAACTCGGGGTTCTATTTCGAGCGTTAGACAGAGTGCAGATAGTCTACAGTAATGGTTTTTGTTTTGCACTTTCTTTCTTTTTGGTAACTTAAAGCATAATAGGATTCTTCAGTTGAGCGTGGCCAAGTGGTTAACCTGCCGATTCGGAAGGTCCACTGTTGTGGCTGCGCGATATACCTCTGAACACGCTCAGTATTTTAGCTGTTCCGAGGGTTTTAAATTATGATATTCAATCCCGATATTCGGCTAAGCCAAAGTTGGCTGCGGGTGCTACTGACTGGTCGGTCCTTCCTCTGGATTAGAGATGGTTATGTGTGATCCTTGGAGTCTCTGACCTGGTCGTTTAAACCAAAGTGTCGCTAAAATCCTATTCAAGTTGAATATACCAAATGCCTATTAGGAAACGTTGTCAAGGTAACTAATTTTGCACACATCAAAATATAAGAAACTTTTAACTGTCTGCAATTTTCTTTGTCTATTTTTTTCGGTTAACTTCTCATTTTTTTCTATAACTTTGACGAATAATTCACAGTTAACTTACCTGTTTTCTTTAATCTTAGATTTTCTAATAAAATTATGGTTGCTTTGAAACTTCATAATTTGTTACAAAATTTTGAAACATTTTAATTTATCCTCATTTAAAAATCCACGTGTTTGGTCCATTGGTATAATTTAGACTAAAACTTCAACCACAAAATAATTAATTCCTGATATCTTATAAATAGGGCTGGAGGTTTGGTATCATATATTAACTAACTTAAATGGAAAATTCGATCGAAGAGTTGAAAAATAATCATGATGAAAAAATATCTTGTGTTAATATAATTCGATTTAATTTAATTTGTTGTTGTTGTTTTTCACCAGCAAACATCAAACGAAATGTATCTTTTATTCAAAATCTCATTACACGATGAAACCCCTTAAATTTAAGGTTGAAAGTTGAAAAAGAATTAGAACTACTAATAATCTTAAAACAACGGAATAGTGAAACAATTATTCAGTAGTAATCCAATTAGAAAGTAAAGTAAAATATATTACTTTCTTCGAGTTTAATTTATGAAAATACTAAAACTGTTTGTTCGTATCATTACAATAATAGTCTCTCCAGAAACTGAAAGAATAAAGTGTATAGATATCATATAGTAGTGTTTAGGAATATCATTTGGCAAATGTGATGAGTAAATAAAATATACAAATGTGTATTTTCTTAAATTTGGTGTTTACATCCCAGTAAAAGTTACGTTTCTCAAATGTGTATATATATATATATATATATCCGAAAAAAAATGTATTAGTTCGTTATAGAACAGGTGCAGCCATCTCTTGTAAATGCTAATCATTATCTGTCTTACAACCCTTGTAACTGCAGCTCATACATCAATATCATCCAAACACTAGGACGTGAAACGAACGCCCTTAGGATAACACGTTGTTGCTTTTGTACCAGTTTTTTAATACCTGGATTTAGAAGTATTCGGGAAGAATGTTGTCTTATTACATAAATGTAATTTCTTTACATAGTTCTGGGCCGAGCTTGGACCAGTGGGAAGCGTGCCTGGACTGAGAATTCTGTTGCCGCAAAAACGCGCTCCGTAATTTGGGATCGTGAGTGTGCTATAAGAGTGGCGTTTGAATCCCACTATTCTGTCGTACAAGAGTACACCCAAAAGTTTGCAGTGTATTCTATTAACTAACTTTTCTTCCCTCCAGTGTTGAATCCAGGCCTTTCCACCGGTAGGTGGTGGGGTGGGGGGAGGAAATGTGAAGCTGGGGAAATTAATTAAAATTAATATTCGACAAAATGAAAAATACTGTACTTCAGGGGGGATTTCTGCACAGAGGACGTTTCCCCTGTACATCATCTGAATTCAACACTACTTCCCTCTGATCTATCATTTCAGAACGAGAGATACCTGATGTGTAACTATGCGCAAAATTTCTCAACAATGCAATACACATAATTGTTCTCGTTGTTTGCCATCTATGATTTTCAGGTATATGGCGTAACGTTTTTTTATTATTATTATTGTTTTCTTACAGTCATGAGATGTTGTTTACAAATGTTTTTTCTCCTGAGACTTCAGTATATTTTTTTTCTTTTTACGAAACGCGACCGTTTTAAACTAGCAGTTTGCGTGCTGTCTCTGGATCATGCTGTGAACGCGCACCTCCACCTCACTTTCAGCTGGGGGGCATATAACTATTGCAGTCAATCCCATTATTCGGTTATGATAGTCACATAAGGCGGGTTGCCTTCCCTCGGGTCAGCATTTTACAACTTAATATTACTATGACCCTATGTCCGAATCCTAGGGGTTCCTGATTCGCAGTTAAGACTATGTGAGGTATGAAGTGCTGTTCGGGTTGAAGATATCAAATATTTTCAAAATTTCCAAAATATAGTGAATGCATGACATAAATTGGCCCACCACAATATTATCGGCAGTTAGTTTGAGATTCCTACATAAATGCTTTTCAGTAGATATTTGAACTCCTTTGCAGATGTTAAATGTTTTCCTTCACTTCACACTTCTGGTTCCTTCTGTAAAACAAACAAAGTTAAGGCTTTTTAAATTATTGCATGGTCCATTGATGGCGCTGCAGTAGTTCATTTTGAACTAATTTCCGTTTGTGTAGTGCATTTTTTCAATCAATGCAAGAGAACTTCAATCTCATTTTAACATCAATTTTCCTATTATTGCAGACCGCCGAAGAAGGTGCTCAAACCACCATTTACCTAGCAGTGGCGCCTGGAGTTGAATCATTATCGGGGGACTACTTTGCTGACTGCAAGGTTATGAACACCAGCCCTAAGACCAGGGATATGGACGTGGCACAAAAGCTGTGGGACGTTAGCGAACACATGACAAAGCTACATCCCCAAACCCATACAGATACAGAATAATCATTTCTTCATAAGACTCTTAAATAACAAGTGAAAGAAGTTATATATGTATTATACACCTCATTTGTCTTTTATCGTAACTTTTTTTTTTTTGAAAATGGCTTTTCATTGATACAACTACTGTGGTAAAGAAATAATAATAACTGTTGCAAACTCTACAAAATAATACAATTACACTTAGCAAGAAAGCACAACTGAGTGCATTTGTTTTAAAGACATGATTAGAAAATTACTTTATAAATCTGTGCTTTACACACAAATAAAATTATACATGTCGCACAGCGTTAGTCAATATTTAACTCGCGCTGGAACAAGTTGCATTATAAATTATATAGTAGCCGCCCTTACGTTTAAAGTTAAATTATGTCCAACAAACGTGGACATTTTACGTACTACAATATCTAACTTATTAAAGTGAAAAGTAAATGTGGTTTTTACAATAAATCCAAATGGAAAACAGCACAAGTGCAGAAAACCTGGAAAGAAGAGATTGAGGCCAGTAAAGTATATATTGATACCAAAACGAGTAATAAAGAAGAAAGTGAGATCAAGCAGAAGAGAAGAGAATTCCAGCAAAAAAGGCTTAGAAAACTAGGCAAGCAATACGGTACAATTTCTGTCAGCAATGTGATCCAGCAGGCACCAAAATTTTTTAAACAATAAAGAGGAATCACATGGTGCAAGTTACTCCAAATCAAAATTCTCTCCATGAAACTAAAATAAGAAGTAAAGCGAATAATCAATTTGTCAGTAATTGGATGGGAAAATACAGGAGATCAAAGAGACTGTTCAATAGCAGTGTTGTCAACAACCATTACACACCAAAGAAATATAGACTAATAGCAATGTCAAATGTATAAGTAAAGCTTATGGGAAACCAAGCAGTAAAAAAGACTAGTAGGAGACTTGGATATCTACCACATAGGGTCAAGACCAAAGATATCCACAACCTCGAACTTTCAGCCATTCACATATAGCATCTGTCATTTTATGCAAGTAACACATCACTGTGTTGGTGGGCTATTTGACCTTGAAGATGCCTATCTTGGAGTGAATATTTGCAGTTTGTCATGACATTGATGTTGGCTTTGTTGGATACTAGGCACTGTCAGCTGAAATCTGACTTATGGAGATCTGAAATTTTTGAAATAAGCTCTGGTTTATCACGAGAATCTCCACTGAGTCATGCCCTCTTTAACGTATACACAACTGACCTGGTCAGCACAACGGAAAGCCCAGGAGTGACATCATTTCTTTTGTTGATGACATAATTGTTTCAGACGTCTCTCACATGTCGAAAAAAGCAGTGAAAGGTTTATAGATAGCAAAATGTCTATCCAACCAGATAAAGCCTGTTGGATGTTGGCTACCAGATTCTCAATTGCCACCTGAGAATGACAATATTAGTACATAATGATCCTACGAGAAAGGAATGAGTAAAAAGTCTTACCCTTCTCAAATATGCTACAGTCAATAAAATGCAGAAAAGGAACCTCATTAGTCTGATGAAAGCAGCAGTCATAACCAGAAAAGAGCATGGAAACTACTTGTATGCATCAGTAATGACTAAGTTACGGAGGGAGCAGGATGCAGTCATGAGAATAGTAGCAGCAGCAACCAAACCAACACCATGTAACACTCTATGCTTTTTGCTTGGTTCGAGCAGCATTACTAAAAGACAAAAGTATCCTAACCAGCTAAGCACTACTCAACGCAACCACATCTCATCTGCTAAATCAGCTTTTGAGAGGGGGGCAGGTGAAGCGATAATACAGAGACTGAAATCGGTAAAATCATAGGTCAGAAAGCCAAAAAGATAGAGAACAGATATGTCCCCTGGAAAACATCAAGAATACTGAGTGAGTGAGAGAGATGACATTAAGTAGGCACAATGAAGTATGTGAAGGGAAAGGCGAACACACGCAACCATAGAAAGGATATACGAACAGAGACTGACATTAATAATAGTAATGGATGGCTCAATCTGGAAATACGTGACTGTATGGATAAGAGCCATGTGGAATAAAGGTGCTGCGTGCTTTTGATTATCACAGCTGATGTTCTGGGAAAAAGTAGTATTAACTTTTTTAAAATACATGATTTGGGGTATTATATCTCCTTTTTCGCAATATTTGCAAGTGAAACAGTCCATTCAATAGTTTGAACAGAAAACATGACACCTTTATTGCAATAACTTTTATTTGAACTAAAAATAATCTTTCGCTGGAACACTTTTTCTTATCTCGATATGTGTTTCCAACTTTAAAAAAGTTAATCTTATGTATATATATATTTCGAGCGTTCGTCTGTCTCCCGTTTGAAAAGTTGCGCACGCAGGCAGAGCTCAACATTCCCTTTTGAAATGACGTGAGAATCATTATTCATGCCAAATTTTATTTCGCAAGCAGGATATTCTACACTAAGTTGTTAGGTATTAATCACACTATCGTTCATATTTCAAAATGTGACATAACTTAAAGAATAAAAACGTAGATTTTTACCGTAAGCTATTGTTGAGCGGCTCTTAGCATGACTGAAATGTTCAACAATTACT